TAAATGTAGGTACTGCCCAAAGTTCTATCCTTGGCTCTTTTCCTTCTGAGTATATATTCATTTCTTTTTCTGGACTGTTTCACTCATCCCTGTACACTACTTCAATTACCTCCTTTACCTGTTCAAATATTTATCTCCAGCTCTGGCCTGAACTCTGGCTCTCTTTGTGTGCCTTGTATCCACCTGCTTATTGGATATCTCCACTTTGATTTCATTTCAGCACTTCTGACAGAGTTATCTATTCTTTAGGATATTTTCAGTTTAGGTAGCAGAAAACCGAGTTCATACTGGCTTAAACATTAAAGGAATTTATTGGTCTGTGTAACAGGACTAGCTTCAAAGTAGTTTGATCTGGTGGCACAGCTGTGTAATTAGCTCTCCTCTCAGTATTCTACTGTGCACAGTGTCTGCTTTATCTGCAAGCTGCCTTCCCTCATGGTCACAAGGTGGCTGCCAATAGCAACACACCAGTGTTACATATTTTCTCATTCAGAGGAAGATAATAGAATTGATAGGACTTGGTGACTTAGATTTAAGAGTCTGGAAAAGTCAAAGATGATTTCCAGGCTTCTAGCTTTTGCCTCTGGATGAATTGAATTCTCTTCATTATGAGGAAGAAAAGCAGGATATAGGGAAGGCAGAGGAAATGAGTTCTTGTAACATCTAAGTACTTTAGTTATATGCACGTCTGTCTCCTATCAGAATGAAATTGTTAAAGACAGTGACCTGGTCTTTTTTCACCTTTACTCCTAGTACCTAACCCTGAACTTGTCACATAGTATATATGTAATGTCTAGGGGGGAATGGATGTGTTAGATGCATGTGCAAATACATGAATACACAACACTGCTTCTTAAGATTCTCTCTCTCTGAGTAGCGAGATGTACTGTGTAATAGATTTTTTTTTTTGAAATAGCTGTAAAATGTATAATAGATTTTTGAAGTGAGCTAGACCTGCGTTGGAACTCGAGATTCACTATCCAAAGCTTTGCAGTCTTGGGGTACTTGATTTGACACTTTTTCCCACCTCTAAAGTAGAAATAGTACCACTTAGTAACTTGTTGAGGTAATTTAAATAAGAATACGTAATAAAGTGCCTAGTAGCTAGTAGCATGTTTGACCTTTAAGTAGGTACTTAAGAAATATTAGTTGTTATTATTTGCAGCCCAGAAGAAACAGAAAAGTTGGATTAGGCATTAAAAGGCAACATACAACATTCATTTTACAGAATTTTTGTTTTACTTTTTGGAGAGGAATTTGTGTGTGACAAACTTCCATTGAATATTATTTTTACAACTTCATTGGAGTATAATTTAAGTGTATGATTCAGTGATTTTTTTTTTAAAGTAAATGTGCAGGGACTTCCCTGGTGGTCCAGTGGTTAAGACTCCACGCTTCCAATGCAGGGGGTGTGGGTTCAGTCCCTGGTCAGGGAACTAAGACCCCACATGACTCGTGGCGCAGACAATAAATAGATAGATAGATAGATAGAGTTGTGCAGCTGTCACTACAATCAAGTTTTAGATCATCCCCAAAAGATCACTTTTGCCCATTTTTAATCAGTCTCTATTACATTGGATTTCTTTTATTGTGGCAAAATATACATAAAATAAAATTTACTATTTTAAACATTTTAAAGTGTACAGTTCAGCTTTGAGTACTTTCACAATGTGCAGCCATCACTACTATCCATTTAAGAACTTTTTCTTCATCACAGAGACATGCGATGTTCCCATTCCTTACTACCTTCTCTCCACCCCCAGCCACTGATGGACTGTATTCTGCTTTTTCTCTATGAATATGCCTATTTTAGGTACCTTATATAAGTGGAACCATAAAATACTTGTCCTTCTGACTAAGTAAAGTCAGTGTCTGGCTGACTTTACTTAGTATGATTGTTTTCAAGATTCATCCATATTTCATTGGATTTTGAAGCAGGCATGGCTATGAGTACATAAAGTTGGGCCAGTAAAGTCAAGAGTGGGCAACGAAATTTTGGTCAGAGTTCTCAAGCCATCTATTGAGAAAGATTACTTACCTCAGACATTCAAATATCTGGTTCTGGTTTCTCCCAACTTCCAGTGTACCCATTTATGTCATTATAATAAAGGGGAAATTTTTTGAACTGATTTCAGCTATTCATATAACTATCAGTTGAAGAAGCCAAGCTAATGATGGCGTCCCAAATTCCATTCAGCTCCAGGTTGTTGAATTTTGTCATTTTGTCATATACTTTCAGTGCTCATAAATATAATTTATCTCAAAACTTAGAACACTGTACTGTGTTAATATACACTCATATATTTTGCTGTGTACTTTTCTAAAGTACTTTTGTCATCTAGGTATATAATTAGTTGAGTGGCAGACTTTTTACCATCTGCAACTCCTCATGGTATTCTCAATCATACTCTCAATATGAGATGTTGATCAAATTACCCAAGACATTGTTATTGTGGAATTAGGGTTTAACTTTTGATGTTCCGTAGCATTCAACTTTCCAGTCACTCCATCTGGGGGTATTTTTCAGAGGTAAACCACTTCAGAAGTAACACATGTCAAAATAAGAAATCTTTGGGGATCCTGCAGCTAAAGAATGTTTATATATGCTATAATATGTTTCATATCTATAGCTGTTAAAAGAGAATTAAGAGGATATGGAGAAATTGGAACCCTCATTGCAGCCATTTTGGAAAACAGCCTAACAGTTCTTCAGGATGTTAAAGAGAGTTACCTTAGGACCCCGCAGTTCTACTCATAGTTATATATCCAAGAGAACTGAAAACATGTGTTCATACAAAAAACTTGTATAAATGCTATAAAGTTCATAGCATTATTCATACTAGTAAAAAGTGGGGGACTTCCCTGGCTGGCCCAGTGATTAAAACTGTGCTTCCACTGCAGGGGGCATGAGTTTGATCCCTGGTTGGGGAACTAGGATCCCACCTGCCACATGGTGCGGCCAAAAAAAAAAAAAAAAAAAGGGAAACAAACCAAATGTCTATAAATTGATAAATGAATAAACAAAATATTATATATTCATACAATGGAATATCATTAGGCCATAAAAAATATGAAGTAATGGTATATGCTACAACATGAATGAACCTTAAAAACATAATGCTAGTGGGATAGGGAGGGTGAAAGGGAGATGCAAGAGGGAGGAGATATGGGGATATATGTATATGTACAGCTGATTCACTTTGTTATAAAGCAGAAACTAACATACCATTGTAAAGCAATTATATTCCAATAAAGATGTTAAAAAAACAACAACATGGGCTTCCCTGGTGGCACAGTGGTTGGGAGTCCGCCTGCCGATGCAGGGGACATGGGTTCGTGCCTCGGTCCGGGAAGATCCCACGTACCGCAGAGTGGCTGGGCCCGTGATCCGTGGCTGCTGAGCCTGCACGTCCGGAGCCTGTGCTCCGCAGCGGGAGAGGCCACAACAGTTAGAGGCCCGCGTACCGAAAAAACAAACAAACAAAAAAACCCATAATGCTAAGTGAAAGAAGTCAGTCACGAAAGACCACATAATGTATGATTTCATTTATATAAAAAGTCCAGGCTTCCCTGGTGGCACAGTGGTTGAGAGTCCGTTTGCCGATGCAGGGGACACGGATTCGTGCCCCGGTCCGGGAAGATCCCACATGCCGCGGAGCGGCTGGGCCCGTGAGCCATGGCCGCTGAGCCTGCGCGTCCGGAGCATGTCCTCTGCAACGGGAGAGGCCACAGCAGTGAGAGGCCCGCGTACCCCCTCCACACAAGAAAAAAAAAACAAAACAGAAAGAGAATTAAGAAACATTACCTGAAAATTCAGAGATCTGAGTTCTGACTTTTCTCTGGTCTCCAAAAGGTCTGTTTCCTCTTGCTGGAAATTCTTTTGTTGGTTACTGTTTTTCCTCATTATAACTAGAAGAAAATCAGATAGCTCTTATTTTACTCTGCACTACAGGAATGAAGATGTCTCAAGTGTATACATATTTTTCTTTGCAAGAGCACCAATTAACATTGGTAATCTTCTCTGTCCTACTACTTGAATCTATGAATTATCAAGCCTGATCTTGTATCTTAGGTGTAGTAGTCATATCCTGAGGGTATAGGAATTAAATTTTGTTGAGCCCTCTTCCAAGTGCCCACTTCTACAGATGGAATTGAGGCTTGGGGCGGTAAAGTAACTTATTAAATATTTGACCTTGTAAAAGTAGCAGTTGGAACCTATGTTTTGATGACTCAAAAATTTTTCTTTCCAGTGTCACATTGCTTTTTCCTACCAGGAAGATAACCCTGGATTTAAAAAGTGCTGGTGAAATTGTGTGTCTGGATTTTGTTAGTGTAAGAAATCAAAATGAGAAGGACAATGATTATTAGCTTGTCTGTAATAATTTTGCTGTATGAGTAAAGAAAATATTACCTTTTATCAGCCTGAGTTCTTCATTAACCAAAGCCAAGATACTGAATTTATATAGAATTGAGGGCAGATAAATGGGCCCTTCTGACCCTCGCTGTATCCAGACAACTGAGGCTTCCTGTTAGATGCCCTTGGTCTCCATCAGTAATATAGGCCAATTAAAGATATGCATGAGTGACCTGAGGAACTTCCCATTCATAAAAGAGTCTTCTCCAGGAGAAGAATTTGGTATGAGAATTAAAACCAAAGCATCTGACTTTTGAGCATGCATGTACAGAAAGCCAGTCACAAAAGAATGTTTACTTTTTTGAGAGATGTAGGCTCTTAATGGACTATCCAGGTGAGTATGGTATTTGGTTTCAGGCATCTATACAGTAAGAACCTCAGTGACTGGAAAGCGTTTGAAGTTTACTTTCACTGCTGCGGTTGAGAGATGAAATCTCCTTTAATATAGATCATCTAGGAAGTTATAGGGTAGAATGTTAGCTCATTTAATGTTGACCTTCCATGTATATACCTATGATTCTTCTTTCCTTATGGACTATTTAAGGGCCTTTATTCTGATAAAGCAGTTGTATGTTTCTTTCCATAGGATGGATAGAATGACAGAGGATGCTCTTCGCCTGAATCTGTTGAAGCGGAGCTTGGACCCAGCTGATGAGCGAGATGATGTCCTGGCTAAGCGACTCAAAATGGAGGGGCATGAGGCCATGGAACGTCTGAAAATGTTGGCACTGCTCAAACGGAAGGATTTGGCAAATCTTGAAGTGCCACATGAGTTACCCACCAAACAGGATGGCAGTGGTGTCAAGGGCTATGAAGAGAAGCTCAATGGGAATCTCAGGCCTCATGGAGACAACAGGACTGCTGGAAGGCCGGGCAAAGAAAACATCAATGATGAGCCTGTGGATATGAGTGCTAGACGGAGGTATGGCTTGGTTCAGCTGCCTCCATAGATAGGGTCTCATCATAAACTAAGCCTATGAAAAACGAATGACTTCCAATGAGAGGAGGGTGTTTTTCAACTTAAAGCTTCTTGAATGAAGACGTACCTGTGCTATCTGGCTTGACCGTGAATTCCTCTTGTTTCTAGATGAAACTAGGTGCCTCCAAAAATTATTACCCTTAAGATAAAGTGGATAAAGGAGGCACTAAGAGTTGATACCCCAGTTAGAAGCGAGTTAATATACACTTTCACTCTAATCTTATGGCCATTTTAGGAGGGAAGAACAGTCTTTTCTTCAGATCATCCCAAGAGTTTTAGGGATGTGTTTATTATGGAGACCCAGCTTTTATTACATCAAAGAGCATGGGCCTGTCTTTTCTTGTGTTAACAAGGAATTTTATGTGCTAATCCTCTACATTCTTACTTCATTTGTGCCACATTCCCCAAGCCCCATATGTGCATACACATTCACTTATATGAGTACCCTCATGCTTGTGCTCTTTCATACACACAGCACACAAGCACATGTTTTCACAGGTCTTGATCAAGGTTGAGTACTTGGAACTGTGGAGAACACAATATAAAGAGGTACCTAGAACTGGCTGAGGTTAGAGTCTACCTGAACAGTGAATCATAGTATAGACAACCCTAGTTTTAAGAATATTCAGTTTATTCATGGTTCAGAAATACCTGATAGACATGAGAATTACTCTTCACTGTTCAGTTGCCCTCCAGTTGACCTTGCTGACTTTGTCCTAGGACTGATCTAAAGCAGGATCCTTAAGAAGCTGGACTGATGCAGAAAGAAGAAAAAAGGAAGGAATGGTTTACAATCTTACTTGGGTTTCTTTCTCTACCTTTTAATGTTTACTTATTAGTATTGTCCCAGAATTATTTTTTTAAACCACACCCAGTAGGGGAACATTGTTCTTGGTAATAGCATTAAAACCCTTAGGAAACTTCAGGTAAGTTCTCTAGTGGTTGTGGAAGAAGAGAAAAATTCTTGGGAGCTATACATAGTATCGGCAGAGTATTATGACAGTAGATTAATCCTTAGATCCTTTTAGAAAAAAAGAAAAGTGCGTGAATGAGATAATGCACCTGAGTAACCCACTTGCCCCATAATCACCCTTAACCTTCTGGGGCAAATGACTAATCCTACTTCACTGGGGACAATGAAGAGGAGAAATGTTAGGTGGATTCCTTACATGCACATTGGAACTGAAAATGTGTTTTTCATAGAAACATTGTTACACATTTTGATAAGATCTCAGTTCTGTTGGAATTACAGTGTATCACAGATAAATTCTGTATTGAAAAGAGTACCCTGAAAACTCTACCAGTGTGTTTAATTTTATTAGAGGAATGAACTTTTGAAACTTGATTCTTTGGAAACTGGGAACTGTTTTTAATGGTCTCCAGGAAAAGAGGCTTGATGTAAACCATCTAGATCCCCATTCTGCGTGAAAAAATGGGCCCTATCTACCCTGTCGTTCTTCTTCCCTTTCACCAGACCAGATATACTGACAGCTATTTCCACTTAGCCTCAAGCTTATTGTAAGAATGAACTAGACTGATAGATTGCTCAACATGGAGAACAATGGTTTATTTGATGTGGATAAAAAAGGAGGGAATTGGAATTTAAAAGCAGAAAGAAGGAAGGGCTCTTGACGTGATAGCCATAATTGCCTAAATATCTTTTTTTTTTTTGCCATCAGTTGGGCAGGTTATGATATCTGTGAAATAAGATATGCATGAAACCAACACTGCTTATGTTTTGGAATGCTGTCGAGACGTGGCAGTTTTCTTTCTGGTTTTGTTTTTACTACCTGGATAAGGATTAGGAGTTTTATAATTTCTGGGTATTTGCCAGTCTGAGTCACAAAATGATGTCAGCAGCAAGTCTGGCTTTTAATATTATCTAATTGGTAGGGTTTCATACTTAAGAATACCAAATATTGTAAATCGTATATGTGTTTGGGAAAGTAGCAAAATAATTTCTGTCCCCGGAAAAGCTTAATAAATGAGGCCAGAATTCCAGGTCAAAAGTTAAAAAAAAAAAAAAAAAATTGAAGAATGAAACTTGACTTGGGCTTTGCCTTACCTGTGCTATCTATCTAATGTGAGTCTCATTATATCTGGGAATAAAATATCATTTAGGGTTTTCTCAGATACTACTTCCTTATAAATGTCGCTTAATTCCAAAATCTCCTTGTAGGAATGTCTCTGCTTGTCCTGTTGCTGGACAGTCCTTAAGCAGTAGGTGGCACTCATTTGAGCAAGGAAGAATTCCTTAGGTTAGAAATAATCTGTGAGGTGTGTATCCAGCCAGGACCAGGATGGAAAGAGTTCTGACTGTCGATGTAAGCCTTGGGGAATCATGTAGAAGAAGTAGAAATCTACCAGACCTCAAAGTTGTTCACCCATGTTCTTGTTAGGGATGGGGAAGGGGAGGCATGAGGGAATATAGAAATGATAAGTAAAAATTCAAACTCTTCATTTAGGCCTGACCATTACTCCAGGAACTTGGGGTTAGAGAATGGAAGGTTCTTTTCTCCCTCCAGTGACTTCTTTTTCTGTAAGCCTACATTCTCAGCTTGCTGTGTCTGTGAGCAGTGGTTATAGAGCGATCCAGACAAACTTAATAGTTCCCAAGATGGTCATTATTATGACTGTCTCCCTACTTTATTTCCTCAGCTAAATTTGGTTGTTTTAGTAACTCAGTTTTACCCTGTTGAGGAATTGAATGCCTGTCCCAACCATCCAGGGTGCCTTGTGCAAAAGGCATCCTAGTCCCAACAGTACCTGAGACAAGAGGCCCTGAGAAATGGTCAGAGGCTCTCAGGACTATAAAGATCTGTGGTTATAAAAGGTTTGAGTTACCTGTTTAAATAAGATCTAAGAACACATTGTTTTAGACCTACATACTCCTGACTATACACTATAAATCTCAAAGAAGTAGGGTCAGCGAAGATAACTCTGAGTTAAGAAATCAGAGGAGAGTTAGAGGTTATGGCCGCTGACTTGGGAACCTACGGCAATTAGAATTTGCAGGATTCTTGTTATCCAGGTCTTACGCAGTGAGTGCCATTTCTCATGATTTTAGAGGGACAAGATGCTCTTAAGGCTTGCTCCAGGAAGACCAAAACCAGAGTTGTCTAATAAATAGGATTGGCCATAAGGCATAGCCAGTGTGGAAGATTTAGATTTCAAAGTTATTTCTAGACAGTTTCTTTCTGAGGGAAGATGCTAAGTAGAACTTGCAGGTAGGTGCAAGTCCCATGTATTTAATTCTGGAGTTTCAGTCCTCCAGAAGGCTGTAGACATTTATACTTAGCACTGTCCATTCTCTTAAACCATTGACAACAGTACCTTCTTTTGGCCTTAACTCTTGACAGGATAGACTGTCAAAGGAGTTGTCATGTAACCTCCTTTTTTTGTAAATCATCAGATAGGCAGGACCATGTTATCAGTATCATGGGTTGCCTCCTTAGCAGCGTGTCATCTGTATCTGGGGTGGACAAGTAGGCTCTACTGCCTTTGTCTTTCCTCCCCTGTGAAGCTAACCATTTCTTTCTTGACCTTCTCTGTAACTAACAAGACAACCCAAAAGGAGACTGAGATATAAGGAAAACATTTGGAATTTTGATTAAAATCAGTGTGATAAAAACACTCATCTCTTTTTCCCATTCCTAAAGCCAGTTAGTGTCTTTCTGTCTGCATCTTCTGTAAGGAATTTAGATGGGAAAAATACTTTTGCTGAGGTTTTGTCGTCACTTACATCTTGGTGTCTATTTTATCCTTTGATTTGGATGTCTCTGTCTTTCCCTGGGTGAATCAGGACAGACTTAAGTTTCCTTGGATTTCTTTGGTCAGTGTAGAAAAGTTTTCTGAACTTTTCTATGAACTTTCACTGTTGGAAGTACCTTAATTTTTCTTCTCTTGTCTAGTGAGCCAGACCGAGGAAGGCTTACTCCCTCCCCAGACATCATTGTTTTGTCTGATAATGAGGCTTCCAGTCCCCGTTCCAGCTCCCGAATGGAAGAAAGACTCAAAGCAGCCAACCTAGAGATGTTTAAGGTAAAGAAAAGAAAGATTCCTTTCTTCATTTCTTGCTTCTACTATTCTCTTTAATTCCCTGAGAGTCCCATGTCTGGTTTTTTAGTGTTTACTTTTTGGATCTAAAAACTACCCATTGATGAAACTCTTCATATGTGATTCTCAACCTCAAGGGTGTGCCCTTTTAGAGGGAACTATTAGAATCAAGTGGAGAAGAGAGTTTGAAAATGCATATTCAATATAATTTCTTTGGAAAATGAAAACTTCATAATTCAAGTCATGTAAAGTAAACTCTTAGCTAGAAGGATACATTCTATACTCTATCCTGGGTTTCGGAATATGGAGGAATTCCTAAGTTTTCATGTATTTCTAGAGGAAACATGGCTTTAAAAGATTGAGAAACATTATTTTAAAGGAAAGCAATATCTCCCTTTGGCTGTTCTTCTCTTTTGCCAGGAATCTGGTTAATTAGCATTTATATGTGGTCTCTTCTTTCATTCTGTAAGCAGTTTTTGAGTACCTACTGAATACCAGGCACTGTGCCAGACTGTGTGCTAGGGACACAAAGATAACAATTCCATTGCCCCTTGTGCTTCTTGTGGAAGGTGGAGGTTTGGGACCTAAAAGAAGAGATCATCTTGCAGGAAAGGACTCTGAGTAACTGCTACCATAGCTGATAGTCTCCATGTTTCCTCAGGGGAAAGGCATTGAGGAACGGCAGCAGCTCATCAAGCAGCTGAGAGATGAGCTGAGATTGGAAGAAGCCCGACTGGTGCTGTTAAAGAAACTGAGACAGAGTCAGCTACAGAAAGAGAATGTCGTCCAGAAGGTACTGTGCCCGAGAAATAAGGGACTAGCAGAAAGCAAAGAAAAACTGGTTTGAGAATGGGCTGCCCCAGGTAGATTCAGCTGGGTGGCTCATTCTTCTCTGGTTCCATGGTTTTTAGTCTCTAGGAATAGTGATTTTTTTTTAATCTTGGGCCTTAATCAAGAAAACAGTGATTCTGTTTTTCTTATTTTCCCTCCTGGTCAACAGGAGCTTCAGACTGACAAGGAGTTTTGAAAGTCTAGAAGTGTACCAAATTTCTGCCTCCGATTATTAGCCTTTTCCACTGTCTCATTTTCTCTTCTCTCTCACAGACTCCAGTTGTACAGAATGCAGCATCTATTGTTCAGCCATCTCCTGCCCATGTGGGACAGCAGGGCCTCTCCAAGCTTCCATCCCGGCCTGGGGCCCAAGGGGTTGAACAGAATTTGAGGACATTGCAGGTATGTGACCCATAGTGTGATCTTAGTTTCAGGGGGCCCTGTTATCCTATCTCTGTATTGGGGCTTTTGTAAGATCATAGAAGAACCTGGCCTTGATAGAGGTGTTATTACCATAGATAGTCCTGTTGGTCCTTAATAGCATGATTTAGTCTGCAGTAGAAGGATGAATAACTAATCTTCCCACCGTAGTCTTTCTTCTCCAGAGGTTTCCAGCTTAGCCCTTTTCCATAGAGGGTTAAATAGTTTATACCAAAGAAGCTAGGGAATTCCTAACCACTAATCAGGTTTTATAGTGATGGTAGATTTATCCTCAGATCCTTAGACAAAATTACCAAGTCTGACTGTGTTTCTGTGTTTCCACTTAGCTATGTATTATAGACAGTGTTTTCTCTTTGGCATTTTGTGAAGCGTTTTACCGCTATGACTATATCTTTTCCTCTTCTTGCCCTTCAGGGTCACAGTGTTATCCGTTCAGCGACCAATACCACCCTCCCACACATGTTAATGTCTCAACGTGTGATTGCGCCAAACCCAGCCCAGCTACAGGGTCAGCGGGGCCCACCTAAGCCTGGCCTTGTACGCACCACAACACCCAATATGAATCCCGCCATCAATTACCAACCGGTAAGAGGGAGCCCTCATGGGGAAACAGAGAAATCTTTTATTTGCTTTCCCTGTTGAAACGACCATAGATTTTAAGTTTTGGGACACTGAGAAACTCTAGGACAACAAAGGTAATTTTGGTGGGTTGACAGTGGTCCCCAAAGTGGAAACACTGAGGAATTACTTAGTAGTAGAGAAGAAATGTTATATGCAGCAGAGCAGCAGTAAGCTAAAATCTGCCTAGAAGAAAGAGATAGAGGGATCTAAGGAATAAGAAGCATAAAGGATGTATGACAAAGCATCCCAAATCTTTATTTTTCTCTTAGCAGTTTTATTTTTATTTATTTATTTGGTTGCACTGGGTCTTAGTTGCAGCAGGCGGGCTCCTTAGTTGCTGCATGCATGTGGGATCTAGTTCCCTGACCAGGGATCGAACCGGGGCCCCCTGCATTGGGAGCACGGAGTCTTATCCACTGTACCACCAGAGAAGTCTCTCTCTCAGCAGTTTTAGTTCGTAGCCACTATCATTCTCCTTTCTTACATGCCAGAGTCCTTTATCAGTGGAGAAGTTGGACACCTCATGTCTTTTTCTGAGCTTGGGGGAAGCTAAGTAGTTCAGACTAGGATCAGATAGTGTTCTCTGCCACAAAAGTAAGAATTGGTTCTTTCTCCCACATACCATCACTGACCCCTATACTCAATCTATTTCAGCAGTCAAGTTCTTCTGTTCCCTGTCAGCGTACAACATCCTCTGCCATCTATATGAACCTTGCCTCCCATATTCAGCCAGGGACCGTGAACAGGGTGTCCTCACCACTTCCTAGCCCCAGCGCCATGACCGATGCTGCCAACTCACAGGCTGCAGCCAAATTGGCTCTTCGCAAACAGCTGGAAAAGACACTCCTGGAGATTCCACCCCCTAAACCACCTGCTCCCTTGCTTCATTTCCTGCCTAGTGCAGCCAATAGTGAGTTCATCTACATGGTAGGCTTGGAAGAAGTCGTACAGAGTGTCATCGACAGCCAAGGTAAGGCTATTTGTTGGTCAGTCTTTTTATCTAAACAAGAAGTTGTCAGACCTGATTGATATGGGCAGAGTATCGCATGGTACTGTGTAATATTAAATAATCTCTCTTTACTATTGCCAAACCACCTCCTGTCTCTGATTCGGAGACTGTTTAGGAGCAGCGTATCAAAAAGCTTTTTGTGTGTCTGTGTATCTTAGACTTAATATTTTTGCTGTGTATTTTGTATATCTTGTCTGTTTTTTGCAGTATATCGTTAGCTCTTTTAAATGTGCCTAGCGTGATGCATGCATAATTTGAAGACTAGAACACTTATTTTTAATGTTAGTGTTTATGTGGCATTGTGCTTGCATTATTATATTCAGTCCCTGCTGTTTGAGTGCTTTTAGTTGAGAAAATAGACTGATAAAGACAACTAGGACCACATAAAAGCTGTAAGCCAACACTGAACTATAAAGTATTAATAACATCACACAGTCTATTCTGACAAAAGTTATTAAGCCTGAATTTCTAAACATAAGGACTTAGGGGAACACCTGAGGAAAGTGCCTAAAGGGCTCAGTATTGGCTATAAATAGATCACAACGTGAATAATTCAGACACTGATAGGTAAAAATTATGAATGTATATGATAGAGATAAGTGTAGACTGAGGTAAAGAGATGCTAAGAAGCAAAAGTACTGGCGGAATTAGGTGGAGCCCTTTGACTGAATTGACACACATTTTCTTCTCAGTGTGGTGTAACAGGAAATCAGAAAACTTGGGTTCCTGTCCCAGTTTTGTCTTTTGGAGCTATGTTTCTTAGACTTAGTTTCCTCATTTGTAAATGGGGATGGTACTGTCTAATTCCCTAAAGTGATGTTGTTGCAATCAAATGAAATAAAAGTATTTTATAAATTATAGAGGCTCTTTCTTAATTCAGCAGAGTAAACTCCTGGAAAAAGATCATCTGATGAAAAGAAACAGAGGAGATACAGAGGAAATGTGAAACCACTGATTATTCTTTTTGTTGGCATCTAGGGAAAAGCTGTGCCTCACTTCTGCGGGTTGAACCCTTTGTTTGTGCCCAGTGCCGCACAGATTTCACCCCTCACTGGAAGCAAGAAAAGAATGGTAAGATTCTATGTGAGCAATGTATGACCTCCAACCAGAAGAAGGCTCTAAAGGCAGAACACACCAACCGACTGAAAAATGCTTTTGTTAAAGCCCTACAGCAGGAACAGGTAAGAATTCTGACTACTTCTCACCAGCCACCTGCCCAGGTTTGGTTTTCCCAAAAGACAGTTCTTTCTAGTTTAGAGGAGTTGTCTCTCTGATCCCCACAGTCCAGGTGATCTAGGTTTCTGAATCTAAGTTCCTAGAACCTAGAGGTCTGGGTTCCCTTTTTTTCTTCTTACCATTCTGCCTTTCCCATTTCCATTTGGCTGTTTCTGATTGGGTAAGAGCATAATGACATATGGCTGAGCTTAAGGGAAAGGGACAAAAGGCTTGAGACTCTTGGCTTTTCCTGATAGTACTAAATAATTCCTCTATTCTTGATTTCATTTCCTTAAACAAATGGATTTTGGTGAGAGGGATTTATATTTGTACTAGAAATCTCTTTGAGAGAAGTAATTATCTGCAGTCCATATTTGACAAAGAAATGACAAAGGAAAGGGTAGATTATAAAGTAGCCCAGTGAAGATTAGTGGTTGCTAGAGTGTGTGAACTCTCATATAGTATTAATAGAATGAGAATATCTTGGAGTGGGGAAGATGGGTTGGGAAGCTCAGATTCTTTTCCACCCCACCACCCATCAGACCCCTCTGGGTAGCATCATGGGTCTCCTGGAAAATGGGTAGACAAGAGTCAAAAAATAAAACTTAGTAACTCATCAGCCTTAATTAATTACATTAGTCAGCTCATCGCCAACACCCAGATCTCTCCAGCCAACTTCTGAGAGCCAGCTTTCTTGGAGAGAGGGATTCCTAATCATTGAAGTGTGTAGGTTACTTGTACCCAGAGATCTTAGTTCACCTACCCCACCAAACTCTTTTGCCTTTTCCATATCCCTCCAACTAGCTGGCAACATTAGAGATAAGAAGACCTCTAGGTTTTCTGGTTAGGAAATTGGGTGCTGTCCTGCCCAACTTGACCTGATGACTCCCAACAGGAAATTGAACAGCGATTACAGCAGCAGGCAGCACTCTCCCCCACTACGGCTCCAGCTGTGTCCAGTGTCAGTAAACAAGAGACCATAATGAGACATCATACGCTTCGACAGGTGAGGATTTCTCTTGAGGTTTTGTCAGCCATTTATCTCAATTTGTCCTTTCTTCTGCAGAAAATCATACTGCTCTTCTGTACTCCCATATCCTTACCTCCCCCTTACACCTTCCATCATGGTAAAGTTATGATTGCTTGTCTCCTCCTCATTGCAGGCTCCACAGCCCCAAAGCAGTCTCCAGCGTGGTATACCCACGTCTGCCCGTTCCATGCTTTCCAACTTTGCACAGGCACCCCAGCTGTCTGTGCCAGGTGGCCTCCTTGGTATGCCAGGTAAGAAGGGTTGATCTGAGAACTTTTCTCAGGGATTGACTAATTAGTATGCAATTCTTTAGCAGCCCCTTTAGGTGAATTGTTCTTTCTTTTGTTTTCTGCTCTTTCTTTAGGCCCTACTCCCTTCACTCTTCTTATTTGGCAAAGGTTTGCTAAATGCATATTACATGCTAGGCACAGTACACTAGGGTTTTAGTGGTGAAAATGACACAGTCCTGTCTAGTGTGCCCTCTTAGTGTGCATGCGGTTATTGATCTCTTTTGGCCAGAATAGCAGGGTTAACTGTCCTGATCCAGTTTGAATGACCCAGGGATGCTTCTTTACAGTCAGCAGGCCCAAAACCAAAGCAGATTCAGTAATTCCCTCTTTGTCTTGATTATTTTCCTTTCACCACTGTTTTCTTTGACTCTTCTGTACCATCAGGAGTGTTTATTATTCCTGGTAGGATTGAAGTTTTGGGAAGACCTCTCCTAAAGCTTGGGAGCAGGGTGGGTAGTTGCTACTGAAATAAAGCTTAACTGAGTCTGCAAAGATGTAGACAACTTCTAATGTTTCCTCTGCATCTCCACCACTGCAGCCCCAGGGTAGTGTGGAAGAAGGTGTCATTTCCTCTTTTAATACCTGCGCTCCACTTTTGTCTCCTGGGTCTAGGTGTCAACATTGCATACTTGAACACTGGTATTGGAGGACACAAAGCCCCCAGTCTGGCAGACCGACAGCGGGAATACCTTTTAGACATGATCCCTCCCCGGTCTATATCGCAGTCCATCAGTGGACAGAAATAACGCCTGTTCCACTTGTACTGCCCCAACCTTGTATCCTTTACTCCTCTCCTCTCCCATTGCCCCCAACTTCCGTCGCATGCAGTGCCTGTACTGGTGCCTACCATACACGGAAAACAAAACAGAAAAACAGAAGACAAACAGTAGAAATCAACAAGAAAACACACGCCCTGCCCCACCACCTCCTCTTTATTTCACACTGCTGCGATCTGTTCTTCTGCCACTTTCTCTCTTCAGTTTTCTATAACAGTGAGGTGGATCTTTGCCTCTGATAGAGGTCAGAATGAGGTCCTGGGGAGAAATCCAAGCCCTCTGACGTGTGTTTCTAAAGTTTGTTTTTATGCTTTAATTATTATTATCATTTTTAATGATGTTGTGTGTCGTCCCTTTGTTCAGTGGACGGTTAAACCTTTTTATTTTCCCCCCAATATTTTTTTTTCTCTTTCGTCTTTTTTTTTTTTTTTTTTTTTGGTAAACACAAATGATATTCAGTTAAGTGATAGGAGCATTGCAGTAGGGTCCCCAACTGCCAAGTAGGACATGACTAGGAGTGTTAGGGGCAGAAGTTTTTAATGCACTTAACCCCAGGGTCAGGGGGAGGTGGTGGCATCAAACAAGGAGGAATAGCACACCCGCTCTGGGGTGTCTCTGAGCTGCACAGTTCTGGAGGCAGTGTTGAGTATTGAAGTTGGGCTCTAAGAATGAGGGGAAAGAGCCTGGAAGGAGAAGCTTTAAAACTTAACCACCCTAGAATTGACCCATAAAGAAGGGGGAGAAAGGGGCGTGACAATGAGCATAATATTGAGCCAAGGAGGACTGAGACCAGGTCCTGGTCTTCTGGATGCTGGGGGAATGAGATTGGTCTCCTGACCCCAGTGGAGATACAGGAGTCTATTCCAGGCCAACTAGCCCCAAATTATTTCATCTTATTTTCTTTGTAAAATTCTCCCCCATCCCTGTCTCTTTTCTTTTCTTTTCTTTTTTAAATCCTGATCTGCCCTTGGTAACCACAGCCCCATCTGTAATATAGAGGAGTGGCTATTCCTAGCCTGACTTTGCTGGGTGTCCTGGACATTGGATGGACATGAGTGAGTGAAATGTCAAAGGGAGGAAATAGAGGAAGAAAGAAAGAGGGGTTTCCCTCCCAACAGTTGCGACTTTCCCATTTGTCTCTTTACCTTCTGAGCGCCAGGAGATGAGGGTGAGGGCACCTAACAGATTGGAGCTGCCCTGACCCTGCTGCACTAACTGCAGAGCCAGCCGCTCAAAGCCAGACAATTCACGTCACAACCAATCCTGGACTTGTGCTGCACAAGTAGATGTGGTCTTTTTTCTCCCCAGAATTCTATAAATTTTGCTTTTTTGTTTGTTTTTATTTTTTTCTTAAGTGCTACTAATGTAGAGAATGAATTGAATTGTGCAATGTTGCTGTTCTGGGGATTGGGGAGATTAGCATCCCATTTGCCCATACTGTGGGGGAAGGGGGAGGGGACCAGGCTGTTTTTGAGGTAAGGGAAGCCCCTTAAAGGTAGAGGTTTCTGCTCTCCTCATAGTGTATGCCCACCTGCCTCTCCAGCCGTAGAAGCTGCCAGAGTTCAAGGAAGGGATACTCTCAGCAAAGAGGTATGAAGAGAGGAGTTTAACATTTTACCCTTGAAAGCAACCTGGGGAAGGTCCCCCACTTTTATTTTTAAAATTAAATAATTTTTTAAAGTAAGAAGGCACTTTTAAAATTAACACACACACAAACTGCACATCCTCCCCATAAAGTTTGGGGAGGGGATGGGAGAAGGAGCTGGAATCAGGCTCAGTTCCCCCCACACTGGCCTCTACTCCCCATACTCCAGAGCCACTGTGGGTGATTATACTGGCCCTACGGGCCTTCCTGGCTTTTTTTCTTTCCTCCCTTCCCCCAAATTCATTGAGCACTTAATAAAGGAGCAGAGATGCAGCCTGTGTCTGGGCTCCCCCAGTGGTGAAATGATCTGGAAGCTAGACGCTAGTAACAGGTAGTGATGGGGTCGTTTCGAGTATTTTTCTGGGGAATGTGGAACCCCTGACTGTAAGTGGTGGGAGAGGGAGGGGGGTTAGTGGAACTGGGTCTGGGATTATTTTAAAATTATATATATATATATAAAGATATATTCTTACATCTCTCCTTTGCCCTCTGTGCTTTGAAAGCACTGGATAAATCGTTTGGTTTTGCTTTTCCCTCTTCCACAAAATTGGAAGCTTTTTAAAAAATATTTTCCCTGCAAGTCATCTTGCCTTGTGGCATGTCTGTCTAGCTTCTTCCCCCCCCAGCCCCCATGATGAAGTGCCATTTCTGTTATGTCTCCCCTCCCCCAGCTCAGAGGTGCTCAGAGGTACGAGGTACCCAAGTTTGTCAATTGAGATTAAAAATAAGGAACAGAGAATGTGCAATACCGTCTGGCTGGGGGGTGTCCCTGCCCTGAGCTGAGTCCCTTCCCTGGGAGCCAGGCCACCTTTGAATGGGGCTTGGAAGTAATGTGTGTCGAGAATGGGGGATGATGGGGAAGGAAAGCCTGTAGTCGAGTGCCTGCCAAGGTGCTGAGGCGATAGGGGAGAGGATGGAGTCTTCCCTGTTTTTATCCCCTCAGGGTCAGTTACACAGAGGCTGCTTGTTGACTAGTATAGCTCCGTGACCCTTTGCTCAATCGCTGAGGTTTGATTTCTTACCCTCTCTTCTCCCCATTTTCATACCCTTCCCAGGGATTAGTGACAGGGGTGAGGTTCCCCTAATCATGGTAAAGTATTAGCCTTCCACCTCCTCCCTTTCCTTCCTCTCCCCCATCCTTCTGTTTTCCTCATTTCTCTACTTTTTCACCACTGATTGCCTTGTGTCCCTCCAAGTCTATTGTTGCTGTCCATCCCCAGGCCTTGGGCCCCATAGACACTAAACCTCATGCCCTAAAGATAGGAGGAAAGACCCTCTGTTCAGAGTTATTTTACCCCTGGAGCATTGAAGCTCAGGGTGATACTAGAGTGAGGATCCCACCAGTTTTGCCTGGCTTCCTCCATCCCCAGAGGCTTTAAAAGTAGTAGTAGTTTATGGACAGTGGCTTACTCTCTAGAAGCCTGATATGGGTGGATAAGCAGTAAGGCTTGGGTAAAACTGAGGGACAGAGGTCCTTATTTGTCTTTTTTTTTTCTTTTTCTTTTTTTTTGTCATTTGACCACAGCATCTGGACTTCTTTCATCCCTGGAATAAGTACTTTTTCCACATTTTTTGGATGTATGTATGGTAGACAATTTTTTTTTAAGACACAGAGATAAATGTTTTCCTGCTTTGGTTACCTTTCCTTTCCCCTTTAAAAGGAATTAGCTATAGAACTGCTTTGTAAAGATGCTTCTTGATATTTTACTTTTGTTCCTTTTCCCCAACCACTCCCTTTTCTCCCCACTTCTCCAGAAGGCATAACCTTCTCTCCACACCCCACACCCCACACCCCAGTCCTAGGCTCCCTTCCCCTCCAACAAGACCTTCATTAGCTTATGATATTTGCTGCCGAGATGTTATAACAAGGACTCATTCGTGTATATAAGCTATTTCTTGATCCATTTAAAAGGAATTGTACATTGTGTAGAAAAAAAAAAAAACTGAAAAAGAGAAAAAAAAGCCCTAGCCATGGATATTGTGAAACTGTGTTATGTCATTTTGTAATGTGCCCGTTTGTGTATGATCCGTGCAAAAGGGTTTCTGGGGAAGGGGCGGGGGTAGGGAGGCAGGGCTGTGGAGGGTGGGTAGGGGAGTGGGCCGGGCCCAGCACACTGAGACTGGCAGCTGCCCCAACCCCATCCCTCCTTAGAGATGCCACCTCCCCCACCACCCACCCCTAATTTGTGCCTTGCCTCCCCACCCTGGAGTAGTCCCTCCGGGTCACCAGCACTGCCTTGGCAGAGCCCACTCCCTACCCTAACCTGCCCACCCTCCCTACCCCCCAGCATTAGGTTGATACTGTGGGGAAGTGCTGGGGGTTGGGAGGTAGCCGAGGAATGGGGCAGTTCCCGGGGGCATTGAAACCAAGTATTATTATGAATTGTAATTGTATTTGCACTGTTTTTTTTCCTCTGATTGCATCAGCATATATACAATATACCTATATAACAAAATTCAGTGTCAAGCTTTCTTATGCAAGGGATTTCCTCCAACCCCAAAAAAGAAGCTAGTTTCATGGGCCTTTGAGGGTGGATTGTCATGGGATGATAGAAATGATTTTAACAAGTCATCCTAAGAAAGTCTCCCCTAGGGAGAGCCATATCCATCTTTGTAAATTGGGGTGAGGTTGGGTTACTGCAAAAGCTAAGGCTCTTAGTCCGGACTGTGGAGAGTAAAGAGAACCACAACACAAAGGGAGGTGGGTGGTGGCACAGTCTGGAGACCTGGGGTTTAGTCCCAGGCTTTCCTACTAACTTGCTATGTGACCTTTGGTAGAGTTAATTTTCTGGGTCTCAGTTTTCTTATTTGTGAAGTGATGGCAGACAGGGGGAGATCATCTGGCCACCAAGTTTAAAATGCTTCCTTCCCCACCTACAAAACAACTTGAGGTGAGGAAAGTGTTGGGCTGAAAACCCATGGAGGAAACCAAAGTGACTAGTGTTGAAGTGGGTAAATGTGTGACCAGTACCCTTGGAGAGCTGCCAGGCCCCGACTGTTCCTTTTGGTTTAGGAGAGGCAGCAGAGTGATGTTTAGGACATCAGTTAAACCTGTGACATCTTTGCTCTCATGTCTCTAGTCATCCAAGGGCAGGGACCAGGCCCCAAGCCCCACCTCACAAGCAGCTGCCCTCAAGGGTGGTTGACCATTGAATACCCCAGGTTGGTGGTCACTCACACCCTTTGTGAGCTACAGGATGCAGAACTTTACTCACTTCTTGGTAGGAGAGTTCAGATGTAGTCTACATCTTGTCTCCTTCCCTCAGATCTCATCATCTGAACCCCCTAAAGGCAGCTGTCTGAACAGCTGTCTCCTTCAGGGGCCCAATTTCCCCACAGCCTGGGCTGAGTACTCCCACACTCTAGGTCTTGGCTGGTAAAGCCTGGAGAGGGTATAGGATGGTGGGTGAAGCCCTGGTGAAGGTGGAAGGATAGATTGGTGGTGGGGTGGGGAGCAGGGAGGTGGGATGGGGAATGGTCTTCTCTGAATGGGGTGGGTGGGAGGGGAACAAGACCCTTTTGCACAACTCTTTAAGTTTCCTTTTTTTAAAAAAAAACAAAAAACGAAAAACAAACTCTTAATTTTCTGCATTGTGTTTGGGAATTAAAATGAAAAAACTAAGACCAATAGAAACTGGTTTTCAAAAAGGCAAATACACTCCCATCTGTTTCAGATGCTGCTGAGCATTTCAGCAGTGACAGATTCAAATAATAAGCTAATTTTTGGAGAAAGGATTAAAAGAAAAAAAACTTTGTAATATTTATCACTTGCAAGCTATGTTTAATAAAGAAAGGAATGGTTTCTAAACTTTCCTGTGGCTTGTGCTTTAGTGGGGGGGGGGGGGGGGGGGCAGTTTGGTGGGAGAATTTTAGGGGCGATCTGGAGATTAGCTATGACTTATACCCCCTCCAGTCAATGGGGTACCTTTAGTTTGTGCCCTTTTCTTCAATTGTGTTGATTATTTAAAGCCCTTACTTCTGTATTCTTCTTCCCCTCACCTTTATGTAGAGCCAGTGTTCTGGAAGCCACTGACCCCACTTAAATTACCTGATGACGTAAGGTCTAAAGGTATCCGTAAGGAGGCTGCATTTAACCCAGAGGCTGGATCTCCATCCTGTCCTAAGGAGAGGTGTACCCTAGCTGTCCTTGGCCCTTCTCATCACACTGCTCTAGACTCCAGTAACAATCCTTTGTAGCATGCTGGTTTCTCCAGGTGGGGACCTTAAAGCAGCTCACACTGTTCTTTCCTTAGCAAACTGCAGAATATGTAGTTCCCCAGCTTCAGTGCAACATGCCCTGAAAGATCTGGAACCGCTCTGTCTTACCATGTCATCACCCCCACTTCCCCAGGTTTTCCTTTCAATCCAGAACATTAACCAGATCCTAATTTATTTTTTCCATTTTGGTTTATTTCCAACAAAGCTCTTAGACCAGGCCCACCCAGAGGAGAGGATGTTACTTCCTCAGGGACCTGAAGTTTGGGGCTGTTCTTAACCTCTTGGTCCCCTGCCACATTTATTAGTTAAAGCTGCTTACGCCCCTTGTGCAGTTGGGGAGGGGCAGGGCCCAGCCTTGCTGGAGGTCTTGTCACTGGTATGAGCATCATCCTACAAGAGCACAGAGGAGACAGTGTTTGGGGTCCCCCTAAGACCTGGGTTTTCCTTCCTCCAAGACCCTACCCCCTTTTGGGCACAATACTGGACAGCCTTGGAGGGAGGCAGATTGAGGGAGAGCCTGGGGTTTGGTTTTAGGTTTGTGATAGAGCTGGACGAGGAGGGACAAGGAGGCCAGGAGGGCCATAGGTCAGAGGGAGGAGTGGGGAAGAGGTGGTCTTTGGACACCTAGAATTGAGGGGAATAGATGTGTGGGGTGCTCCACAGCATCTGTGCTCATTCTACAAGGGATTCAAGGCCACCAGAACCTCAACGCAAACTAATATCTCCTTTCAAAAATAGAAAAAAGAGGAGGCATGCCTCCCAAAAGGGGTCAATGCTGTGGTTCTGGAAAGGGGGAGATGGGCATTTGGTTGCTCAGAGAAGCAGCGTGTGTGAGCTTAGATGTTCAGAACTCTTCTCATGTTGGGACAAGGGGGCAAGGAACTTGGCAGCCCCTTTGTCCACCTGCCTGTTTAGACCACCAGGAATGCAGGTTGCCTGTCCCTGGTCAGACTCCAGCTTAGGCATGAGGAGACAAACAGATTTCAGACTGGGGGTTCGGGTTGGAAGATGGAGTTGCTGACAGAGCCCCTTGCCCTGAGTCCCCTTCTTGGTGGGGGTGGGGGGCAGTGCTTTAAAGCTATATATCTTTGGGTAGTTCATATTTGAATCAAGAGGATATATTCGATGGGGTTTTGAGGGAGGACTAATGGGTTGGAGAGTACTCCCACCTGACATGGTTTAGTTTGAGGTTATTTGGTGTGTTGGGGAAGACACAGAGTTCCCCATTTCTTGAGGAGAAGGGAGAAACAGAAATCACAACCTCTTCTCTCGCCCTATGGTCAGACCTGACCCTCCCCGGAGGGGGGCTTAGGGACCTTTGGTTCTTTCTTGACTCCGGGGTGGCAGGGAAAGGTGATGTAGATTCTTTGGTGGGGCCGGAGTTAGTGGCACCTGGGAGGGAGCCAACTTGGAGGGCCCTAGGCTAAGGGCGGCTGCTCCACGGTCACCTGAGAGGGAAGGCGGTGATCAGGCTTCGGCCCCAGAGCCTCAAAGCACACTACTTTCTCCTTCCCAATCCCCCTCACCTGAATCCCCCTCACGTGGGTGATGAGTTCAGTCTTCTCCTCCGGCTTCCCTCCACTCGGAGCCTGGCCTCTGCAGCCCCCAGCTCTGTCCAAGGCAGTCTGAGGCACTGCCCAGCACTCTTGGGACCCCTGTCTGCAGAAGAGGCTGCCCGGATAGGGAGGGTCAGCACCCTGACCTGTCTGGGGCTTCTCTCTGGCTTAGCATCCATCGGTCCCAGCCTTTCATCCTGTTCCATACTCCACAGGGGGAGAGGCTGGGCCCCTTCCTCGTGCACAGGATGGCAGGGATCTAGCTCTGGCCCACTTCTGCCACCCGCCCTCTGCCTCGGGAGCCCCAGTGCTCTCTGCCCCACTTCCTGCAGCCCACCAGGCCTCCTCCCACTTCTGATGCCACACAGCTGTGAGAAGAACTGGCCCTCCCTCTCTGCCTCAGTGTCCTTATTTGTAAGACAGATTAGTCAGGGATAAAAGCCCTTTCTTGCTCTTTGGGCCTGTGCCACCATAGTGCAGACTGTCTTCCTAGCAGTTTTCCACATATAGCCATCCTGGCCCTTACCTATGTCTCCAGCCCAGGAGGAGGCAAACGATGAGGGCAGCCAGAGCCCACGTGGATGCCCACCACAACCCCAGGCAGCGAGCTCTTCTCATCCTGGCTGCAAGAGCACCCAGCCTTGGACTCTGGACACAGTGCCATCTGTCAGAGGACCAGGATGGAGGCAAAGCTCAGGCCCCTCCTCCTCCCTGAAGACTGACAGCCGTAGGTCCTATGGGAAGAGCCTGCTCTGACCCCGGGCCTGCTACCCTCCTACGGGACCCCACTCACCAGGGGTGGCTAGGGGCACTTCACGCAAAGAGACAACATGGGCACTGCTGTTGCCATCCCCGTTGCCACTGAATGCCTGAAGCTTGATCTCATAGAGGGCGGCTGGCTCTGCAAGAAGCAGGAGATTGTGAAGGGAACAGGCCTGGCTGGGCCAGGAAGCTCAGTGCCTGGGGCAAGACCACACTGAGGAGGGGCCACAAGAAGGTTCAGGGCCTCACCCAGATCTGTGTAGAGGAAGGAACTGACAGTGCTAGCCAGGAGCAGGGGCCCCTCAAAATGGGCAGCGGGCAGCTTGCAGTGAAAGAGTTTGAAGCCCTGGATGGGCCCCAGCTGGGATGGCAGCTCCCAGGAGGCCTGAACAGAGGTGGCGTTGAGC